CTTCCTAGCAAATAAACATTAGCTGTGTCACCATGATATTTGTAATGAAACTGATCTAAAATTGACTTGGGTTTAGTTGTCCATACAGCACTGTCTCGTTTCTTTATTTAGGACGTTCATAATGTGGCTTGACATAAGTGCCTAGGGAACAGGAGACCCAAGCTTGTATGTGAGGAGTCTTGATCAAATGAATTAATTATGCACATAAAAGTCTCCTTTGGCTTTTTTTTTTTTTAATCCCATCTCCCATTATCTGCCTTATGGTCATTCCATCATTTTCTGAACTCTGTTTAAATAGTTAGTAGAAAGAAAGAAAGAGAAACACTAACCCATTGACTACTTGTTTGCAGTGCTAGAATCATTTTTATACCTTGGAGCAAGAAAACATTGTCTAAGATTAATTGGACTACTGTTATGGATTTCAGTCATCTATTATGCTACCGTCTTCCTTGCCTACAGGCCAAAAGTGACAGTACTGGCTGTCAATACTGGTAGTCGTCCCAGGTTATGAATGAGACCCACAGCTAGCTGAGTCTTCAAGACTTTGCCAGGGCTTCAATCTGGCTCAGTTATTGTCCAGGAAGTGTCACTGAAAGAGATTTAAAAATGAAAGTGACACTGAACTGCAAAGATAACCTTGCAAGAAACTTAATTTCTGTCCGACAGAAGAGGGCACTGCATCGCATATCGATTGCAGAGCAACCAGATCCCTTGGTTTTCAGAGGAGCAAGGGCACGGCCCTGTTCAAAGATGGCCGCCGACTGGACCGTTTTCAATATGTGTTACTCTCTTACCATCCTGACCACCATCCAGGATCACACATCAGTCTCCTAGGAGGGCAGATTATAACACTTCTGAGTCTCCCATTCCAGGGTTTCCTCTTGTTTTCCTCACACTGCCATTGTTCCAAATCTGCCAAACTGTAATCCCTGGTCTAGTCCTGTTTCATGGCGTTGACTATGACAGAACTGTTTTAAAGGACAAGTAGCAGTTGTCTGTAAAGGCAACATAACCTAGGGAGTGCTGAACTTCAGTGACTATCAGAGCCAGTTTGGTATGAGCAGTGGGCTAAGCGCAAGGGAATTTAAAACCAAATCCAGCACCTTTAGAGTCAAGTAATAAAAACCACCAGTTGCCTTTAAGTTGATTATGACTCAAAAGGCCCATGTGGGTCAGTGTAGAATACCACAGGATTTCTAATGATGGAGTTTTTCAGTCCAGCCTGAACCTGAAGTGCCCCAAAGAAATGCCTGGACTGAAACCTTCAAACGTACAATTAATACTCAGTGTGTTAATCAAGTGCCCCACCCAGGAGCTACTAGAGACAAACAAACTGATATCTGATAGAGAAAAAAACATTCAATCTCATCAAATTTTTCCACCTGTGTTTAGATGAGAAACTAAAGCTCAAAATGACATGATAATTCCACCTGTCTGTGTGAGGGGGGTGCAGTGGGGAGTTCGCTCTTGTTTTATTTGGTGACCTGGTCAAAGAAGGCTCACGGTTCATGCACACATTCATTTGGTCATATTTATTGCTATTTCATAAGATAGAAATACACAGAGAACAAACCTGGAGTATCTACCAAGATGCCTTCCTTTTCATTTATTGATAAATATTTTAAGCCCGTATTCCTCCTTGTGAGCACAATCAAATCCATTGTGGGAATTATAATGAGTTATTGGTAAGCATTTAGTATGAGATTCATTTGCAGATCATTAAGAATCATTGCCTGGTTTTAGTGCCTCCTTGATTATTTAGGGACAATTCAATACAATTTAAATATAAAGTTACCTTACAAGTCTTGACAGGTTGTTTATCCAAGTCACATGGATAGTAAATGTATTTGAACTGGCTACAAACTTCAAATTAGGGAAGAAAAGTGGCCCTTGCTTCTGCCTATATCAGGGAAATCCCACAATATCCTTTCGCTCATCAACAGCCAAGATTCTATGTACAAGTTGTGTATCGCTGGAATTTCTGAAAAGGAAGATGGGATGTAAGAAATGAATAAAGCATTTAGAATATACTAGTGGCAATGTGGAAGACAGGATGAAGTAAAAGGGCTGAATGGGAAATTTCAAAGGGCAGCTCATGAAAACCAAGTATTATAAGGAAGTAAGCAAAGACCTGGAATCGGAAAGCCAAAGAGGAAGACCACAGTGTATCTCAAGCTGAAAGGACTGAAGGAAGCATAAAAGACTCATGTTGCAATATTGAAGGATTCTGTGGCAGAATATTAAATGATACCGGAAGCATAAAAAAAGATGGAAGGAATACACAATGTCACTGCTAAAAAGAGCTGGTTGACCGTTAACTATTGCAGGAGGTAGCATATGATCAAGAACCAATGATATTGAATGAAGTTCAAGCTACACTGAAGGCATTATCAGCAAGGCTCCAGGAATTGGTGACTACCAATCGAAATGTTTTATCAAGCTGATGAAACATGGAAGCACTTACTCTTCTATGCTAAGAAATTTGGAAGACAACTACCAGACTTGATTGTAAAAGATCCAAATTTATACCCAGTTCAAAAAAAAAAAAGGTGATCTAACAAAATGCAGATATTACGTAGCAATATTGTTAATATCACATGTAAGTAAAATTTTGCTAAAGGGAATTAAAAAATGGTTGTAGTAATATTTGGACAGGAAAGTGCCAGAAATTCAAGCTAAATTCAGAAGAGGACGTGGTATAAGGGATATCATTGCTGACATTGATCTCATTGCTGGATCTTGACCTTTATTGACTTTGCAAAGGCATTCTACTGCGTGACCAGTAACGAACTATGTAGAGCATTAAGAGGATGGAGAATTCCCAAAGGCTTCATTGTGCTCAGAGTCTGTACATAGAACAAGAGACAATCATTAGAACAGAGCAAGGGAATACTGCATGCTATAAAATCAGGAAAGATGTGCATTTTTCACTTGTCTCCTCTCACCATATGTATTCAATCTGTCTGTTGAGCAAATAATATGAAAAGCTGGACTATATGAAGAAAAATGAAGCCCGAGGAGTGGGAGAAGGTTTATTAACAACCTTTCATTTGTACATGAGGAAACTTTGCTTTCTGAAAGTGAGGAGAAATCAAAACACTTGCTGATGAAGATCAAAGACCACAATCTTGGAATCAGTAAGGATTCCAACTCAATATGAAGAAAATCAAAATCCTCACAACTGAATCAACTGACCAGCATCATGATAAACACAGAAAAGTGTGTCTATTCACTTTGCTTGAATGGACAATCAATGCTCATGGAAGCCACAGCCAAGAAATCAAATGATATTTGGCAGTGAACCAATTTGCTGCACAAAACCTCCATAGAGTATTAAGAGCAAGGATGCCACTTTAAGGACTGTAGTGCACCTGATCCAAGCTGTGGTAATTCCAGCCTGCCCATATGCATGTAAAAGCTGCGCAATGAATGAGGAAGACCAAAGAAGAATCTGGGCGTCTCAATTGCAGTATAATCAAAGAATACTGAAATGACCATTGGCTGTCCGAAGAACAAACAGATCTGGCCTGGAGGACACACAGCCAGCACGTGCTGTGAAAGTGGAGTTGGCAAGACTTCATCCACATCCTTGGGATGTTTTCTGAGGAGAGACCAGTCGCTGGAAAAGGACATCACACTTGATGAAGCAGAAAAGTAGTGAGAGAGGAAGACCCTCAAGGAGGTGAATTGCCACGGTTGCTACACCAGAGGCTCCCACATGATTGTGAGGGTGGTGAGGGACAGAGCAGTGTTTGGTTCTGCTGCGAGGGTCACTGCATCGGAACCGATCCATGACACCTGGAAACCCAACAACGTTGTGATTTAACCATCTTAATTCACAGGTGCTGTGCCTCTTTGGATTTCTGTCTGGGATTGGGTTTCATGATTCAATGGCATTTATTGAACAGCTGTGAGGAATACTAAGATTTTCAGTGAGTGATCTTGGTAGAATGAATCATGAGCCATCCTTATTTCAAAGAGTTTATGAAGAAAGGAAGTATGGATGTGATAAAAGAGAATGGCAGTGGAAGGAAAGATGGGGGCATATACGCACAGGTGTATATCCATATGTATGGTTGCATGTGTATATGTATATGTATATTTACATTCCTTGACAGATTCCTAAGCATGAGAGAAAGGTTCACCAAAAAAGGATGTGTGGCATTTGATATTGTTAAAATTAAGACTGTGGAAGAAGTCTTAGTATTCTGAAGAATTGAAAGGGCAGAGTTTAGCGTGCATCCTAGAGCGATCGTTGCAGAAGGCGGGGGGGATCATGGCCCACTGGGTAAAGGGATGTTGGATTAGATTTTACTGACAGGTTTACCTGGCTCAGAACATTGAGGGAGCTGAGGCTGTAAGGTGATATGTGGATCCACGAGTGTAGTGACATTTGGAGATTGCTTGTGTTCATATTAATGCACTTATTTTTCCAAAAGGGCAACGTGTAGAGGGACTCATCCCTGGGATTCAGAGGGCTTCTCAGATAAGAAGAAAGTTCTGGTATATTGGTTTTATATACCAGAACTTTCTTTATACACCAGACCATATTGGTTTTAGAATTCTCTCTCTCTACCTGCCTGTCCTGGGATTTTACAAAGAATGTTCTCATTGCAGTGTTCTATGTGGTTGTTTCTACTGTGCGAAGTTATCTGGAGGCGCAGAGGAAGTCGCCTTCATTTTTTTCATTCATGTAAACATTCACAGCACCTTGATCATTACAATGTGGCTATTTGAGATTACAGATTTAATTAGTGAGAGTAGTGTTCGTGTACCTCACTGTGCATGGGAGACAAGCACATGGGCTTCACCATACTACAGAATGAGAAAGAGTTTTCAGGTGGGAGGAAAACAAAGAAGTGAACTATATATTGGGTTTACAATGATTCACGGAACAGTTATATTTTCTAATAGTCTCTTACCTGTGGTTATTATATATGTGCCTTCTGATCACCTAACCACTAACTTTACTAACTTTTCTCATCCTGTGATGTTTGCAGTCATGTGACCCTCACACAATGCAGAGAAGAACCCGGCGTCTCCTGAGACCCGCTCTGAGTTCGAGGACCTGCCCTGAGGACTCGCAAGTGAGGCCCTGCCTTCTTAATGAGAACTGCTTCCAGTTCCGGTACAACCTCACAGGTACAGTGACCCTCCAGGACCTTGTCATTTTCTTTAGCAGAGAAGATGGCTGACACCAAAATAAATTGTATTCTTTCCTTTCTTAGAAGGCTAGAAGCCTGAATTTATGGCACTAACTTTAAGAGTAGGCTTGCTTGCTCTGTTGGCTCACAGTTTAGCCAGAGAACCTGTAAGCACCCATAAGCCCAACATTCTTTAAGTGTTTCCATGTATCTTGACATCAGTCTTCTGGATTTAGGAGGTTCCCAGCATAATGTGTCCCACCCTTAGCTCTACTTTTTGAATGGGGGGTAATAGGTCTTTCTCTCTCTGCTCACTTCTCTCCCTTGATCTCTTGTAAAAGGCAAGATTTGCAGGTTATGTGCCATAGAAATTCCCTTTATATGGCATCAGGGCTGTGACAAGATTAAAGTTGTTGTATCCCACTCTTAATCCATTTACAACCCACTGGGTTATCCCACCAAATCATATCACGAGGACCATTATGTAACTGCCAAATTACACCTTCCACAATTGCCAAACAGCGAACCTCTTGGCCTAGCCAAAGTGATGTAAATTTGGAGGTACACAGGTCAATCCATGACAGTAAGTAATAGTTTTTTCTCTGAATAGTTCAGTAATCATTTAACTCTTTCAATGCTTTTTAAATTATTTTAAGAAAGTCAAGTTTACAATGTACTTGCTCTATGGACTTCAGTAAGGATGAAGGCTGGGCCTGACTAGATGGAAACATTTTTCTAGACAGTGGAGATCACAACATCCTAGTTGTCACCGCTCAGATTCTTCTGAGCCTAATACAAAAAGACCTTAGTTACATGGATCCGCTACCTGCCAATCCCTGCCGTAGTAGATAAGCACAGATGCCACAATATGTAGAGCCATGTTGAGTCTCAGCATTCAATTTCAGACTGGTGGCCACAATTCCACCTACCTGTAGAAATCAAATAATAATTTTTTCTTAAAATAGAAAAATGCTCCCTACTGCCATACAGGCACTCCTGAGATTCTATGTAGAATGCCACATACTGAATTCTAGGGGCATTCTGATGACCACGGCTATTTGTCCTTTTCTTTAGATAAAGGAGTTTCAGATACTTGGTTTGAATGGTAATTTTCCAGAAATAAATGGAAAATTGCTTTACTGGAAATGTGTATCATGAGATATGAGTCTAAAATGGGTTTACTGTTCCTATTAAATTCATACATCACCTATCAAATATGAGAGACATTTTAAAGATGTTTTATTTCATAGATGATCAGGGGCCTTCCTTTGTACCCATAGCAATGATACAGCTATGTTTTTTATAAAGCAGCAGTTCGCAACCTGTGAGTCACGACCCCTTTGGGCATTGAATGACCCTTTCACAGGGGTCGCCCAATTCATAACGGTAGCAAAATTACAATTATAAAGTAGCAACGAAAATAATTTTATGGTTGGGGGGTCATCACAACATGAGGAGCTTTATTAAAGGTTCGTGGCATTAGGAAGGTTGAGAACCACTGTTTTAAAGAATCCAACCAACTAAATTACTGTAGGTTTTATTCTAACCAGCAGTTATTTATCTAGTTTCTAATGCTGCTAGCCTAATCCATAAGCCTTCTTTTGTGATAGAATTAGTTGGAAATTAAAAAAATGTTCTATAGCAGTTTATATAGTTCTGTGAGTCTTTTCCTTCCAGGTTATTTGTGGGGTGGGGGTTGGGGTGGGGGTGGGGACTTCACTGTACCCAATATACCAAATGCCTTAGATGTTTGGATTTATTCTTGGAACACATTTTCATGTTTACATCACAAACTCTCAATGTTTATGTATTGTTTTCTCTCTCAATTATTTCCCCAACGAACAGTTGCTTCCAAATTGTTTTTCTTTGTTATACCAATTACTGTCTTTCCTTTCCTGCCTCAGCCATCTCTGGTATGGCTTCTAGCAACATATTTGCTTTGGTTTGTTGGTTTGTTTTTACCTCCAGTCACTGACTTTTACTTATTTTTATCATAATTTTTAATTTTTGCGACAACACAATTGCATGATGCTCTTTCCAACCCACCTGGAAGCAGATTTAGGATTATGTACACATCGTACTTTTCCACGATGCACGTTTTCAAGGGTTTGTTGTATTTTGCTCACATGGTCATGGCTTTGAAACTCAGTGTGGGTGCTCCTGTGACCGCAGAGTGGAGCACATGCCGGCTGAGTGAAAATGCTACTTGTGGGCAAGGCGTCCGGACCCGCCTTCTGAGCTGTGTGCGCAGTGATGGCAGGCCAGTCAGCATGGACCACTGTGAGCAGGTACGTGTTCATATTTATATGTACTGCCCGATTCTTTGTTCCACCTAACGTTGTTTTTCTATTTGCATGAAATTTGCGATAGATCACAAAGACTGATATCTTTTTTATTTTAGCTAAGGGTTAACTAGAATAAAAGGGCTCTTACAGCACAGTAAATTTGAACTTAATGGAAGAAAGGTCACTTGGTGTTGAGGATATTGAGTTCATTAAAATGTTCTATTTTGGTTACTCTCAAGAACCTACCTAGTTGTAATCATCTGTAGCAAACTATTAGGAGCAAGGAACTTTAATATTCAGATACGCCTCTTGGTATTGGACAAGTGGATAATTTACATATATTATTAACTGTGTCCCTTGAATACATAATGAATACTGCCACTTGCTGTTAGAAAACTCTCCGAATTTCCGTGGCAAGTGAGGGTTAGGTAAATTGTTGGGTGACATCAAATCCGTTCTGACTGACAGGGACCCTGCAGACAATGGAGTAAAACATGCTCGGTCCTGGCCATCGGAGCCATCTTCATGACTGTCCCTATGTATGAACCCATGGTGGCAGCCACTGGGACAATCCCTCTTGCCCAGGGCTTTCCTCAGCAGCACAGTTGTATATATTTTTTCAATCTAAATGAAAGACATTCCCACTGAGATTCAAGTTCTGAATTTTCATAAGTCTATTTCCCCCTTTTCTCCTGGGGAAGCATGCTTCGACTTTGAGAAAGCACTTAATATGGGTATGTTTTCAAGAGGTAGGTTTATTCTTCCTAACATAGCAGTGAAAAGCACTGAGAGGACAAGTTTACCAATAATAAAGGTGGCCTCATGATAAACTGCGATAAACTTCATTAAAACATCTATTCTGACCAACTCTTGTTAAATATGCTTACAACATGCCCTGTCTACCAATGGTGCATCCATAACCCTGAACCCCCCTCTCTAGCAAGACAGTATGAAAGGGGATGCCTCATTTGGAGGGATTCTGAAATCAGGACATGCATGGCCAAATGTGGTCTATCAAGAGTCAGTGATTTATCATAGCATCTTATTGCTGCCCCCTAATAAGTGGTCTCTTTCTGGGTGTGGGGGTGAGGGGGTTCAGAAATCCACAACTCCAAGTAAGTGAAAATCTCAGGCTTGGGCTACCTTTTTCATCTTCTCTTTGAATACAAAAGAAGATCAAGTCTATTCTTTCATGGGAAATCAAAGTCCTGGGTTAGTGCAAATGGCTAATGTGTTTCCAGGATAACCAAAAGTTTGGAGGTTTGAATCCACCCAAAGGCATCTTGGCAATCTGCTTCCAAAACAAATCCGCTTTTGAAAATCTGGAGTCCAGTTCTACTCTGACACACATGGGGTCATCACCCGTCAGAATCAGCAATGCGGGGTGGTGTTGGGATAGGAAATCCATTTGTCTGTCTTCTAAATAACGTAAGCTCTAGTGCGCTGTCAGGTAAGCACTGGACTGCCAGTTTCAAGGTCATCAGGTCAAATCCACCAGCCTCTCAGAAGGAGAAATGTGAGGTTATCTGCTTCTGTAAAGATTTACCATCTCTGAAACCCTATAGGGTCTCTATGAGTCAGAAGCAATTTGATGACCATGGGCTTGGCTGGGGTGGTGCAGTAGATAAAAATTTTAGATGCTAATCTAAAGATTGACAGTTTAAACTCAGTGGGAGAGAGACGTAGTAGTCTGCTTCTTGGGATATTTACAGTCTGGAAAGCCCATAGGACAGTTCTACTTTGTTCTGTAAGGTTTCTATGAGTTTCAGTGGTCTTTGGCTTGGGGGAACAAGCATTTAAATAGTACCAGGGTAAATAGTTCCAAAAATGTTCATCTAACCAGATTATTCATAGGTTTTAAAAGGATCATGGATCTCACTGTGATCATGTACATTTTTCCCACTTGGTAAAAAAAATCATGATTTAATCCTTCATTTCAATGTTCACATGCAGTGGCTGGTTGGCTTCTAACTGAAAGGTCAGTAGTTTGAAACCACCAGCCTCTCCGTGGGAGAAAGAAAAAGCTTTCTATTCCTGTAAAGAGTTATAGCCTCGGAAGCCCCCGGGACAGTGTTGTCCTGTGTCATGGTCACTGTGAATCAGAATCGACACAACGGCAGTGAGGAGTGAATGACAGACATTGAGAACATGCAGCATGAGTTCAATGTCAAGATTTTCCGAAGGTCTTAAAGCAGAATTCCTTATCATTAGTTGTTGCTTGAGATGAATGTCTTATGGAATTGTTCTTTCACCCAGACTTTTCAGACAACATCAGAAAATGCATGCATTTTGTACATACCTCTCCTTTGATCAAAACCCTTACTGCACTTGGGTCTTTGCATATACACTGAAGATGCCTTGCTGTTTTTGCTTTTAATCATATTTTATTCACTTCTTCAGTCTCGTTAGATTTCAGTTTTGAGTTCTCTAAATACGATCACCCTGCCCCAAAGTGCAAAGTACCCAAATTGAGTGCTGAAATAGCCTCTTGTTTCTCTGTTGGATGAGTAATTGGAAAGGTTTCTGAGTTACGTGGCTCCTATTTTTTTTAAAGATCCAAAATCAAAAAGGAATTACAAATCTATTCTAGAGTTTAAGATTTCATAAAATGAATAATGACAGACTACTTTTCATTCAGTATCTGGAAACGTTTTGCTGCTCTTCATCTGGCTTCCAGTTGCTCAGTCCTCACAAGTGTGTAGCCTTTCCCTTCTCTGTAGTCCATGTTCAGTCTGAAAGCTCTCCTGAAACCTGTTCACCTCGGTGAGCCCTGCTAGTATTTGAAACACCAATGACCTAGTTTCTAGTATCATAGCTATGTGGAGGCCACCCCCATGTAACCAACTAGCGTTGACATATTTGGGACATCTCATCAGGAGAGACCAATCCTAAGAAAAGGACATCATGTGGTAAAGTAGAAAGATAGTCAAAAGAGGAAGACTCTCAAGGAAATGGATTGACACCGTGCTTATAACCAGGGCTTAAATATGTCCATTGTGCTAACCGCTCAGGACGTAGCCATTTCTTTCTGCAGTGCATGGGCTGGGTTTGAGTCGGAACCCGCTCAGAGCTGCCTAGCAACAGTAGATTCTATTCCGATAAATAAGGGCAAAATGTCCCTACAATGACCATCAATTCATATACTAACTAACCCCTCTCCACCCCACCCTGGACACACACGCAGTTGTAGTCTAATTGATCCCTGCTTATATGACCCTGCAGGGGAGAGTAGCGCTGCCATTTTAGGGATCTCAAGGCTGCCATCTTTGGAAAAGCAGCCTGCCCCGTCTTTCTGCAAAGGCACCATGGTGGGTTATGACTGAAGCTTAGCAGCTGTGCGCTTCATCCCTGCACCACCAGGGTTCCTGATCACTCCGTATAAGAAAGAATTTCCCCTCAAATGTCGAGCAGTTATTACTTCAGCGTTAACAAGGGTCTTTCCCCACCAAAATAAAAAGGATCATTAGAAACGGTAGCCAGCATTGTTAAGGAGATTATGGGATAGAGGAAGTTACATGCCCTTAATTGGGGCTTGTTTATTTGTCCAAAAAATATTATGTCTTACAAAGGGGCTGCCTGTGACAGAGCCGATTGGGTTGGGACCTGTTCTTTAGCTAACGGTCAGCCCTATCCTGTATCCTGTATCCAGTTCGATGTCAGTGCTGATCCCCGTACTACGTGCTATGCGTGTGCGTGTATTGCTAAGCAGCTGAGTGTTCTGTGGGTTTTATTTCTCTTTGCCAACTTTATCTCTGTGGGAAGTTTCTGATCTTTTCTTCCAGGGTTTCTCAAAAGGTGGAATATAGACTAGTACAATCATATGCCATACTCGATTTTTACATATTTATTTCTTATTCCGTGCTCTTTCTGTCATCTTACTTTTTCTTTTTTTAAAAAAACTTAAGTATACAAACAGCTTTCTGCCCATTTCATCAGACCTTTTGCATTACAAGCAGATGAATGTGTTGTTCTATTTTTCATTAGGTCCTAACAGGCTGGCCCTTAATAATATACCAATGCAACAGATAAGTATCTCGTCTAGTGAACTCACATTTGATTTCTCGTTGCAGCGTAACTTGGAGAAGCCCCTGAGGATGAGCGTGAACTGCCTGGTGGAATGTGTTGTCAACTGTCAGCTTTCGGAGTGGACAGCGTGGACAAGGTGTTCACAGACCTGTGGCAGTGGAGGTATTGTGTTTCCTATGTATTTACTTATTCTGAAAAGTTCAATCTTGAGTAGCTTTCAATATAACATAGCCTTCTAAATGGACACAAGAAATATTGGTAAGTTTAAAGTAACCTGAAATTTGCTCAAAGGTAAAGAAAGATAAAATATGGCCTCCTCGTTGTCTTTCAGGGCTGGGTAGAGATTGGGAGTCTAACCTGATGAGAGAAGACCCTGGACCTGTAGGGCAGTGCTTATTCAAAAGTCATCAGATTAAACTGTTCAAAGAATATTGCCTTTTGGAAGAAGTAAAACAAAAACTACTGTATCAGTTAAACTTCAGAATCGCACTGGCTATATATATAATAGACTGGGCAACAACACTTCGCCCATCTTAAGTCTTGCTAACTAGGAGGAGAAGTTTCTGCTTCAAAACCGTTGGTGAAAATTTACCAGTCTGACATCACCAAGTCTCTGGAAGTTAACGCGCCAGGTTGGAAAGGTTTTGATGGGTCAGGTTGGAAAGGATATTCGATCCATATTCCATTAGATAGAATCTAACCGCCTGTCCCTAGTGAGTTACTGGGTGGTAGGGCAGGAAATATAACCCCTGATGGTGATTTCTGAGCAGGGATGTTCCAATAGAGGAAACAAGTATGAGTCTTTGGCAAACAGACAGCAATCACTGCCAGGAGGCACTAGGTTCTCAATGAGCAAGATAGCAATGAGAGCAAAGAATGCAGAATTGATAGCTAGGCCAATGGAAACAAAGCAAGAATAGGGACTAAGTCTTGTGTCCATTGGAGGGGGAGCAGCAAGATCACAAAAGAAAAGTAGAGTTGTGGTTTGAAATAAGACTATAGCCTTTAACTCTGACTAAAATGTATTAGAGAGGCAGATGCAGACATTTGAAGAGGAACCTAGAGAGAAATCCTAGCTGGGAAGGAGAAATGAAATAGGACTTCACATTGGAGAACATGGAATCAGGGTGGAAAGATAACAGATCTGCATCTGATAAACACCAAAGCTATCTAGAAGCCTTTTCTATAAGTGCTGTTATTTGGACCACTGTCAACTGAGCATACTCATTTCTAAGTAGTTTGCCAAAGAATGTGCTGGGTCATTCATGATAGTCTGCCGTAGTCGGTCTGTCAAGGGAACTGAGGGAGTGACAGATTCTTCTGTCAACCGACCCAGAAGAGCCTGGAGAGGAGAGAGCTGAAGCCAGTAGCCAGCATATGCATTAGGCACATGTGACTAAAGGAAACGGTTAACTGTTTATGCAAAGGGCATACTATCCGATAGAAAACTGGGAATCGCAATATCTAGTAATAACAAGATTACATTCTCTGCCAAATTCAGAGCCTCAGAGCATCAAAGAACCCCAGGAAACTAAGTGGTAAGTCTTAGCAACAAGATGTTAGGTAAAACTATGTTGTTGTTAGGGGAGAGTCATCTTTGAGTCTTAGCGTCTTCATTTATAGGATGAAAGTGATATCCTTTACAGAGGCCTGCATTTTGATGTAAGGATTAAGTGAGAGGAAGCCTGTGAAATCAGCGAGCACAGAGACGAGACGGATACACAATGATGTTCAGTACATCTTCATTTCCACTCCCATCATTCCAGACAGGAGTACACAGAAGGGTTATTAGAGACCTCCCAGGATCTCTTAAAATTCACTTAATAATCTAAATAGCCCTCATCTCTCTTCAGTTCATCCTTATCCAAATCCATATACCATAGTCAGAGCCTCATTGATAACTTCAAAAATGCCATTCTGGTTAAGTGTTTATGTCTTGATTTAAGATCACTCAAACACATTTGTCCATTAACCAAATTCATAAGTGTCGATCATAGTTCTGTGCATGGAAGATGCCACAGTAAATGAAACAAAACAAAACAATATACTTCCCCTCTTCTCCGGAGTTCACAAGCTGGTTGAGGAACAACAGATAGCATGTAAAGGAATAAACCAGCAATATCACATTTTTTACGCGTCCACCAAAGACTCAGGCAAGTAAAAGGTGTTTCTTTATCCAGAGATGACCCACCTTGTTTACCCCACAGTCACAAGCGTGGCAGGCTTCTCCTGCGATGTGTCGCTCTCATAATAGTAAAGAGTCACATGAGAAAATGAAGGAAGGACCACAAGGACAAGTCCCATGATGGAGAAAAATATCAGGCTGCAATCAAAGATGTGGCTGAAACATGGCAGAGTGGAGCCTAAAGAACCCTCAGGAGGGGAGAGGGTGACAGGGATCGGGACAGACAGGCAGGTGTAAGCTCCTGCATGTCCTTGTGGTTTCAAACATAAGAACAATTGTGAGGATGGCACCGGACAAGGCAGTGTTTTCATTCTGTTGTGCATAGAGTTTGGAATTGATCCAATGGCACTTAACAACAACATAGATGAAAATAAAACGTGTATTTTTATCAGTCGGAGTAATTGTGTCTCATCTTCATCTTTAAAAATCAATTGATCTGTGTAAAGAGGAATAGGGCACATGGCCTTGAATTAATAACACACTTGAAACTGTGGTGAGCCAGCCTTTATAATTACATCATACCCCACCAACCCCTCACTCACTCCATGCCTATTTTACTGTTCCGGTACCATTTGAAGCATCACTCCAGTGGAAGGGGTTAACATTTGTTTTCAATGGCAGATAATTTTGTATTAAAACCATGCCTTAATTCCCACCCAGCACCACCTGAAAACAAAACAAACAAACAAAACCCCTAACAATCAGAAGCATAAGTATGTGGAGCAGATCAACAGGGCTTCTTAAAGTCTGGGGCTGGAAGGGATGCAAACTATCACTGGAGGATATCTGTGGCTTTTCTCCTCTAAGACAGCTTGCCAGCAGTTGCCCATTGTGTGAGTCACTTTCTTTTATTCAACTGCTCATGGCAATGAGGCAGAGACCCCAAGAGGTGAGGATAGGGCTGATGTAGTCACATTAAAGTAAGCAAGCCAGGTAGATGGGAGTCACACCAGCACCTGGGGCTCTTGTCTGACTTCTTTATCAAAGACAAAAGTTCACAACATCATATCTGTTTATGAATTCACTGGGTAGTTGAAAACCTGGTGAGCTAGATATCCTGAATGGTTCCCCACCAGCGAGACACTTTATCACCCAGCCTGCAGCACCACCTTGATCTGAGGGGACTTTTAGAAGGGAGCTCCGACTTTATTTTCCCGCATCTGGATTGTCTCTGTGGTGTACACCTGATGCTTGGCATATAGTTTCTAATTGTGTTAAAGGCTTCAAGGTCAGAGCAGTTTGAAGCCAATTTATTTCAGGTTAGAGAGAGACTAAGCTTCCACTAAGGGATCTTTTTAGACAGATTTCCAAGATCAAAGCTTGTTACAGAAGAGCTTAATATTTGGATTAGCCATGTTCTTTGCCTGCTGCATTTTCATCAGTTCAGTAAAACTCCCTAAATTTGGCATATCATGAATTATTCACAATTATTATTTAACCGATAAGAATGCTGTTAATCCAAAACATGATTTTTTATGCTTTATATTTTTAATTCAATGTGTATGAATTGACATTATTTTTATATACTATATAATACAGCTTGCCTACTGCAAATGCCAGATGGCATACTGTTTTTCCTGCTAACTCCCACCTGTAACTAAAAGAAAAAGAATTATATTAACTCCAAAGCATCACCACCTTGTGATTTGCAGTATTTTCACTTTCCAGTCTATTTATGTATTTTTGTTTATTTTTGTTCCAAGACTTCAAGGGCAAGCCAGTGTCTTAAATTTAGTATCTGCATAAGATTTGACCAGCATGACATCCCTCATCAGGAGCAGTGCATCAGTTGTAACAGTTCACACTTATTTGCTGTGTCAGGACACTGGTCCCTATAGCAAGAAAATAAAAAGCTATGTAATGGGTTTAAAAATATAAAAAGGAAAGCCTAAAAAATAAACAAGAAGATCAGAGTTTTAGAACAGAGTATTTCAATATTTAGTTGCAGGATCTTGAGCTAGTCATTCAGAGTTCACTTTCCCTATTAAAATCTGTAAATAATCGAAAAGTGCGAACTTTTAACAAGTCAGTTTATTTTTGAGAATATGCACAGAACACACCAATTCCATAAATTTTACAAACACAACTTAGTGGTATTTAGTATATTTTCTTAGTTACTCCTTCTCTGCTAACATAAACTCATTTCTCCTAAGGTTCCAGAATCATCTGGAAGTCAATCAGTCCTAAACTGGCCCTGTGCTCACGAAGAACAATCTTTATTAGCCAAATTAAACTGCTGTTGGGTTGCAAGAAGACTTCGGGGAATATGTTTTGTTTAAAGTTTAAAGATGGTCTAGAACGATACTTCTAGGCACTCACACTCAACAGTCTCCAAGGCTTCAGAAAGTATGGAATCCTTGAGAATTTGAAATTATGTTCTACAGTTCCCCCTTTTGAACGCAATTTATCTCTGGAACCATTGATAGCCGGCAGATGTTTTTCCTGGTCTCTTGGCAAAGGGTAGAGGATTGCAACATATTTCATTTTCTCCATTTCTGACTCTTCTTCCTCTGGTGTTAAGACTCCAGAAACCACCGAATGAACCGAGAGGTATAAAGAAGCACTAGGCAGAATATCTGACCAATTAATCGGTCTGTTCCATGAAATTGATAGGTAGGAAAATTAGGGATAAAGGGAGTTGTCTCTACTGAATGCCCAGCTAAATGAAATTTAACTAGCCATGCCACAATAAAGGGGTGGGAAAGAAACCAGGCACACACTAGACACCTATCCAAAACTGGGCACGCGCAGACCGAGGTCACCAAGGTGCAGATGAAGGTCACCTAGGCATGCGCACTAGAAACCAGCAACAGTCTGTCAGACGTGCTCCTAAGCTCAGGCACTAAGGCCAGACCAGCCTCCCACCCATGCTGGAGTAGGAGGGGACAAAGTGGAAACTGAGGGTGGGCCCTCTCTCCTTCAGTCTGGAGGTGGGATATTTCCCATGTGCATAGCTACAATGTGTGTGCCCTCTCAA